GGATCACGAAAAACAAAAGTGATTTCGAAACTGAGGGTGAGTTGGAATATAAATTAAATTTATGATTATCGCGATATCAATCGAGTGGAGAAACAATTTGATTGCATTTTCCATATGTTGCATTAATTTACATTTGACATCCTTCGCATCTTTGTGGATTCGCTTTGATGAATTTTGCACGTAACGGGTTAATAGTTAATTCCTTCGGATCTATCTACGTGCCCAATGAAGCTAATTTTAAAAATAAATTAATGATTTATCATGTACGGGTTGTAACGAGAAGAATCATTTGTTATTCTCGTGCTCGAGATAATTGCAATGTATTGTAATCAACGCATGTTACGAATCGATTTCTCTATTATTAACGAAACTCGACTCTTAATTATCATTTCTACTAATTATTTGTTTTGATTTCAAATGTTATGTATCCTTTCTTTTTTACTTCGATATCGAGATATTTTCTAATATTTTCTCGAATTATCTTTTCCTTTTTTTTTTTTTCAAATCTACAAAATATTTTTACCTAGCTTCTTTTTTATGTTGTTTTATTGTGGATATCGAAGTTTTTCGAATGTAAATTTTAAATGAAATTTCATTCGCGGTTTTGAAATATTGAAAGAATATTATTCTAGAATATTTATGTTTGATTTCGAAAAGAAGAAAGAAACGTTAATCCCGACAGAGGAATGAAAAATCATTCCGCCTGGTATACTCCAATGTGTGTGAGTATACTCGCAGGTAGAAGTTACATTGGCGATTCTCTTTTTGCATTTTTTTCCCACTCTATTTATTTCAATATTTTTACATTCGTATCGTATCTTAGCAATACTTATTTTCGTTTTCATTTTAAATTATTCAGAACATCTTTCGCGCGTTCTGAGTAAATTTTTAAAAATAGTTAGTAATATTTCACGAGAGTTTCCTCTCGAGAAACTTCTTGAAATCAAAATCATCTTGAAATATCTTGAGTCTTTTATAAAAAGAGATAAATAATTTTTTAATTATTTCCTCATTAAGTATAATTTCTCGAAGATAGAATACGAGAGTACAAATTTAAAAATATGAGAAAAACGTGCAATATTATAAAAAAAAAGATAAGCAGAATACAATAAATAAATTCAGAATATGAATTTTCGATAATATAGACGAATAAATAATATTTTCCTTTTATTATTTCGTTAAATTAATGAAAAAAGAATGACATCATTTAATTCGCAAAATAACATACGAAAACCTATTCAAAGAAGATATTTAGATTAGTCGCGAATCGAGCATTTTTGATTTTTCGTTGTCTTCTCGTCAGAATCATGAATGTTTCATGTGCAGATGTAACTGCTAGTGATCCAATTAAACAGAAATTAAATTTCAATGTTCAGTCGGCCACAAACATTTAATAAGCAAAATGTAAATACTTAGCTCGCGGGAAAGAGGGGCCAGTTTACATGTGCAAAATGAATTCTCTGTTTATTCTACGTTTCGCGAATTCTAATTAAATTACAAGCACGTCCAATCGAAAATCTGTATCATATTGGACGTATTAACGTTAAAAAAAACTTCAAATAAAATCTTATCTTTTCCAGAGACATATTTCAAAACCTGTTTTCCTCAAGATATACTTTTCGCAATTTATTCTATCGCTATCGTATTTTCGGATTTCAATCATTTCGCAAGCAAGATAGAAGAAAGACAAAACAATTGAAAAACGAAGAAGAAGAAGAAGAAGAAGAAGAAGAAGAAGAAAACAATTGATATGATCCAAAATTGATTTTTGATCATATCCATTTTTTAATTAAAAGAAAATACGAAATAATTGAAAAAAAATGTATAAATAAACAATGGGAATATTTGCGTGTATTTCTTACGTAAATAATTACGCGCGATGCATCGACTGTGCAATGCATGCGCCCAAGTTTTAACGGCTCTCCGCGTTCTCTCGCTGGTGCACTTCCGCCCATACCGCGGAATTATCGAATGGATTTCCACCAGCCATAAAACCTTGAAGAGTGTATTCACCGCAGATGCTAAACTCTGGCTGAATGATGAGGAATTAAACACTGAGGAATTAAACATTGAGACTGAAGTAACAGGTCTTTATAAATCCTGTTAAAGAGAAGATTATAAATTTCATTCTCTAATAATATTTATAACATTTCGATCTATATTCGTACTAAAACATAGTTTTTTTAAATAAAGATCATCGTATAAGGATTGATTTTTATCGATCAATATGATTTTTGGTAGCCAACCAACTTATTTGTGAATTTATATTGGCAATGCACTTATTCATGAATTTGTGCCTATGATCTATGGTCGTTTATGTTATAAGATTTATGCTGTACTAAGCGATCACCGATAATACAGCGTTTATAGCCGAATTTATGACGATACCACGATGATTGACGTTATAATATTTACGGTTTGCTCGGTTACTAATATAGAAGTTTACAACGCTTATGATTCTTCGATCGGCCATTACGAAAATTAACCGCAAGAAAACTCGTAAGTACATGCTGGATTACGTTGTTCGAAACTTGATAATAGCATGAGAGCTGCTCGCCTTGTGAAATATTATATTTTCATCCCCTAATGGAGAATGGGACGTTTTCTTTTTTGAGAGAAATTAAATATATATAAAACTACTTTAGAACATCTTTTTGAACTTGAAAATTTAAAAATCGACGTTACATTTCTTTGTTACATTTTTGCGTATTGAAATTTTTCTGTATCTGAAAATAAAATAAATAAAAATAAGAATAAAATAGTAGATAATAATCGATGTTTGAAGAGGTACGTACCTGCTTTTAATAGAGTAACGATATTGTTTGTGAGGCAATTTATGAGATTGCTAGCTTCACCAGAACATTTATGCTTCGTGATTTCTAACATTACATATTTTAGAACATCGGGATTAATCATCTTTTTGAATTTGAAAATTTGAAAATCGACATTTCTTTGTTATATTTTTGCGTATTGAAATTTTTCTGGATCTGAAAATAAAATAAATAAAAATAAGGATAAAATAGTAGATAATAATTGATGTTTGAAGAGGTACGTACCTGTTTTTAATAGAACGATACTGTGTGAGATAGTTTATGAGGTTGCCAGCTTCACCAGAACATTTGTGAACACCGTGATTTCTAATGTTACACTGCTGCATTTACATTACGTTATAGGCTTGCTAATGGCACGTGGTTATGTTTACAATGCGGCACGTGGTTCCTAATATCACTGTGCGTTGTATTGTACGCTCTGTCACGTGATCTCTGAATTTGCAATGTACCTTGTAACAGTACCGAATCCTACTTACCCTTAATTTATGGATTTCACGTATATTCTCCGATTATACGTTCATTTGGAATACTGAAACGAGAAAATGTAAAATGAATTTTGATCATAAAAAGAGGAAAAAAAGAAAAGATTTTCTTCTGTTTCTTTCAGATTCGTTTTCATAATGTTTTTATCCATCATGAATTAAGAGAAAAAAAAATCAATCTTCTTCGCTCAACGCATTGATTGATTTCAAAATCAAAAAAAAAAGAAAAAGCTTCGAGAGGAAGAATGATTCGACCAAAGATAAAAAAAAAAGAAAAAGAAAGGATAAAACAAGATGATTCAACCAGAATAAATCTAATGTAGCATAGGTAAATATACGTAGATTTCATAAAAATAATTTTACTATTATTCAAATTATTCTAAATCCTCGTGCTTAATTTTCATGTCGCGTTTTCTCTTCCGTTATCCGACAACGCTCGTTTGGAATTGTAAAATGGCTGATGCGGTCCTCTGGGCGAATCTTTTTAAACCGTGGCATAGTAATTTCCTTTACTGCCCGCATTACCATTATCCCCGGTTAACTTTCAGCCGCCGGTTATCCTTTCACGATTTTTCTTTCTTTTTTTTTTTTTTTCCCCTAGCCGCC